GGTGAAAGGAGGTATAGTTTGCATTTCATTCATTCATTCAGCCGCTAATTTTTGAGCACTGTGTGCCAGCCACAGGGCTAAGTGCCAGGAATATGGCATCAGACGAGTTAAAGCAAAGTTACTGGTTTCACGAAACCTACCTTTTGTTGGAAGAGGTGGAAGATAGACTCCTAAAGAATAACTAGTTGTTCAAAATCACAAATTGTGGTAAATGAGATGGAGGAAACAAATGAGGGGTTGAGAGAGAGACCCTCAAGGCTGGAGAGAGAAGAGCTTCCTTAGACTGTGTTATCAGAAAAGTCTTCTGAACAAAATTAATTGCCTTTTCTGGAACAAGGAGTATTCTGAAATAAGGAAAAAGAGAATGCTGGGAAATCTCAGTTCCAGGATGGGACATTGGGGGAAAAAAAAAAAAAAACATTAACAGTGCAGTTGAACAGCCTCCATTCTATTGATACAGAGCATTAAGAGAGGCCAGGTGTGGGGGCTCATGCCTGTAATCCCAACACTTTAGGAGGCTGAGCAGGGAGGATTGCTTGAGGCCAGGTGTCCAAGACCAGCCTGGGCAATGTGGTAAGACCCCCATCTCTACTAAAAAATAAAAATATATAAAAGTGTAGCAAGCCTATATTACCATGAAGTTAAAATGATCAGGCATAAACTAGTTCATAATCTTAGAGATCCCAAGAGTATGAAATAATCAGAAATATAAGGAGAGGAGTAGATTGGGCACAGTGGCTGACACCTGTAATCCCAGCACTGGGAGGCTGAGGCGGGCAGATTACTTGAGGTCAGGAGTTCGAGACCAGCCTGGCCAAAATGGCGAAACCCTGTCTCTACTAAAAATACAAAACTCTGGCTGGGCACGGTAGCTGATGCCTGTAATACCAGCACTTTGGGAGGCCAAGGCGGGCAGATCACCTGAGGTCGGGAGAATTTTTTTTTTTTTTTTTTTGAGACAGTCTCACCCTGTTGCCCAGGCTAGAGTGCAGTGGTGCGATCTTGGCTCAGTGCAACCTCCACATCCTGGACTCAAGCAATTCTCCTGCCTCGGCCTCCTGAGTAGCTGGGATTACAGGTGTGTACCACCAGGCCCAGCTAATTTTTTTTTTTTTTTTTTTTTTTTTTGAGACAGAGTTTCGCTCTTGTTGCCCAGGCTGGAGTGCAATGGTGCATTCTCGGCTCATCACAACCTCTGCCTCCCAGGTTCAAGCGATTCTCCTGCCTCACCCTCCCGAGTAGCTGTGATTACAGTCATGTGCCACTATGCCCACCTAATTTTTTTGTATTTTTAGTAGAGATGGGGTTTCTCCATGTTGGTCAGGCTGGTCTCAAACTCCCGACCTCAGGTGATCTACCCGCCTCAGCCTCCCAAAGTGCTGAGATTACAGGCATGAGCCACCGTGCCTGGCCAAATTTTTTAATTCTGTAGAGACGGAGTCTCGCTTTGTTGCCCAGGTTGGTCTCAAACTCCTGAGCTCAAGCAGTCCTCCCACCTTGACCTCCCAAAGTGCCGGGATTATAGGCATGAGCCACCATGCCTGACCTTGGCTTCTCTTTACTGCTGTTAGATCGAGGTGAAATGTTTTTCGAACTCACCACGGTTACAGAGCTAGATGGGGGTAGAAGCCAGGTTTGCACCTCTGTACTTCTGATTCCAGAGTCTCTGCCCTTTCTATTTGTTTTCTGCCTTGGAGTGCCTCTCACTGGGCTCAGTCCTCTAAGGAGGTTGCAAAGAGAGAAAAAGTTTCTTTCTTTTTTTTTTTTTTTTTTTTGAGACAGAGTCTTACTCTGTCCCTCAGGCTGGAGTGCAGTGGCACGATCGTGGCTCACTACAACCTCCGCCTCCCAGGTTCAAGCAATTCTTCTGCCTCAGCCTCCCAAGTAGCTGGGACTACAGGCACATGCCATCACGCCTAGCTAATTTTTGTATTTTTAGTAGAGGCGAGGTTTCACCATGTTGGCCAGGCCAGTCTCGAACTCCTGACCTCATGATCTGCCCGTCTCGACCTCCCAAAGTGCTGGGATTACAGGCATGAGCCACCACACACCCTGCCGAGAAAAGGTTTCTTTTTGTAGTAGAGCCCTAAACTACTTGGAAAGAGGCAAAAATTCTCATCACCAATCTAAACTCCATGAAGGCAGGGACTGGACTGTTCCATTATTTGCTTTGTCCACAGCAGACACTCAACAAATATTCATTGATTTGATCAATCAGTATATTTACAAAAACAGACTCAAGCACAGTTCATTCAATGGGAAACTTTAGAAGGCGCTTAAGCAAGACAATGTAAATGCTTGGGTGAGCACCGTTAATGAGTGATGTGACCCACTGGGTGACAAAAGGAAGCAGTTGGGCTGTGGTCAGGCACAGTTCAAAAGCACTTTTAGATATTTTCCTTTATTTAATCCTCACATCCAGCCTCTGCATTAAATTGTAGAAAAATCAGGCAGCTAATAGAGGAGTTGTGATTCAAATGTAGATAGGGTGACTTGAGAATGGCCGCTACTCCGTCCCACTTAGGGACTACGTATGTGCAAATGTTCAGGTAAATGCAAGTAAGGGAATGTCATGGTGGAATGGAGTTCTCCCGAGAAAAGAGAAATGTCACAGTATGTTATGAGCAATTAGGAATTTGAAAAAAGATGCCTAAATGTCACTGTCCTATAAAAGACTGAGCCATGGAAACATACACAGCCTGCCAGACACGATGTGTGACAATCACTTCATTATTTGCTTTCCATCTTGAAGCTTTCTGTAAGTAATCACTAAGCAATGATTTTTCCGTGAGACAGGAATGCCATCAACCCAATGAACAAGCACATCTTGAAGTTGCTTTTCCAATGGTGGTGGTGTTACTGATTTGCTGTAAGCCTGTCTTGTGCTCTGTCACAGGGCCTTTCTCATGATCAGCAACACACATTTGCAGAGAGCTTTGATCCATACTCCTCTGCCCCCGATCCTGAAAAGTATCAAGCTGAGAAGCAGGGAAGCTAGGGGGTCATGAATTTATTGCTAATTGTATAATTCTGGTCACCAAGAGGAAACTTTCTGAATCCAATAGGATTAGGGCAGAGTTTCTCAACATCAGCACTGTTGCTATTGTGGGGATTGTCCTGTTCATTACAGGATGTTCAGAGCACCCACTAGATGCCAGTTGCAGCCTCCCCCATGTGTAACAGTCAACAGTGTCTCCCTCCAAATATTGCCAAATGGCCCTGGGGTCGAGGAGTGGGGAGGGGGCAAAATTGCCCCTGGTTGAGAACCACTTGTTTAGAGATACAAACACACCCGTGTACATATGTGCACATATGGCCATAGTGCATGTAGTTACCTTGGCACAGGGTTTTTTTTTTCTTTGCTTTTTTGCTTTGGGGTTTTTCTCTTTCCTGTTGTAGGTGGGGTTTTTTTGTTGTTGTTGGTTTTTGTTTTTGAGATGGAGTCTCACTCCGTCACCCAGGCTGGAGTGCAGTGGTGTGATCTCAACTCACTGCAACCTCTGCCTTCCGGGTTCTAGATTCTCGTGCCTCAGCCTCCTGAGTAGCTGGGATTACAGGCTCCTGCCTCCACGCCTGGCTAATGTTTGTATTTTTAGTAGAGACAGGGTTTCATCATGTTGGTCAGGCTGGTCTCGAACTCCTGACCTCAAGTTATCCACCAGCCTCGGCCTTCCAAAGTGCTGGGATTACAGGTGTGAGCCACTGTACCCAGCCGAAGATGGGGGTATTTGCTGTTTTTTGTTGTTGTTGTTGTTTTTTGTTTGTTCTTAATCTGAAGCGGAATCTTTGCTTTAATCTTGACTCCTCTTTTTTAGATCTGTCCGTTTTATAAAACCTTTCCAAAGAGTTGATTACAACTGCTAACACTATTTTTGACATTTTTTGTGTGTATCTTTTTTTTTTTTTTTTTTTTTTTTGAGACAGGATCTCACTCCGTCACAGGCTAGAGTGCAGTGGCATGATCATAGCTCACGGTAATCTCTAACTCCTGGGCTCAAGGAATCCTCCCATTTCAGCCTCCCAAGTAACTTCAAGTGTGCCTCCATGCCTGGCTAATTTATTTTTGTTGTTTTTTCAGTTTGTTTGTTTGTTTTGTTTTGAGACAGAGTCTCATTTTGTTGCTCAGGGTGGAGTGTAGTGGTGCGATCTTGGATCAGTGCAACCTCTGCCACCTCCTGGCAATTCTCCCGCCTCAGCCTCCTGAGTAGGTGGGATTACAGGTGCGTGCCACCATGCCTGGCTAATTTTTGTATCTTTAGTAGGGACAGGGTTTCGCCATGTTGGCCGGGCTGATCTCACACTCCTGACCTCAGGTGATTTGCCTGCCTTGGCCTCCTAAAGTGCTGGAATTGTAGGAGTGAGCCACCGTGCCTGGCCCAGCTGCTGATTTTTAAAATTTGTATAGAGACAGGGGTCTTACTATGTTGCCCGAGCTGGTCTCAAACTCCTGGCCTCAAGTGATCCTTCCACCTTGGCCTCCCAAACTCTGGGATTACAGGTGTGAGCCACCATACCCAGCCAGTACAACTGCTAACATTACTGAACCACTACTATATGTTTGATACCCTCCTAAGCATTTTACATGTATGTTTAAAGTTTAATCATCAAAATAAGATAGAGGTTGTATTATTCTCATTTACAGATGAGAAAATGGAAGTACAGGAAGTTGAGTGACTAGACATGGATTTCAGTGGTTTTGAGTGAGAGAGTTGGGATTTGGACCCAGGCTACCTGATACCTGTGTCTGCTTTCTTATTTAAGATGCTGTACTCTCTTCTTTTTTTAGATGAAACCTACATCATCACTGTGTGCCCCTTCAATTCTTGATCTCAGAATTTCGACAAATGGGGCAAAATTTGATCTATGAGTAAAAAAATCACACTCCTGTACCTTAAAATTATATGGTGTGTACAGTTAGCGGAAACAGTTTAATCACGGGACATGTGCATGAGAGCTGGCACTGACTGTGGACATATATGTCTTCCTCTTTTTACCACCAGAGTGTCTCTATGTATTCCCCTGCCAGTGGAACTACCGTCCCGATCACTGCATGTATGGAAGCAACTGCAGAGAGGCTGAGCATGAAGGCGTGTCTGTTCTGCATGGAAACCGAGGCGTCTACCATGATGATAAGCAACCGACATTCAAAGCACTCTATGAAGCAATACGGGATGTAAGTGCGCCCTTGCTGCTGTTAGCAAATGTGCTTAACAGCATGAAGCAATACTGGCACTTTAGTCACCTGTCCCTTTGAAGGCCAAATATTCCCAAAGCATAGAGTTATACGAGTTATTCCCAACCTCAGTCACGTTCTGTCACTATATCCACTTGCCACCTTGTAGTATGTGATATCTACTTGACTTATTTCCACGTACACCATTCATTATCTTTTACTTAACTAAATTTGGGAGGAAATTTCTGTTTTTTTGTTTTTGTTTTTGTTTTTTGAGATGGAGTCTTGCTCTGTTACCCAGGCTGGAATGCAGTGGTGGGATCTCGGTTCACTGCAACCTCAGCCTCCCAAGTAGCTGTTGCCCGGAAAATTTTGGTATGTTTAGTAGAGATGGGGTTTCACCATGTTGGCTGGGCTGGTCTTGAACTCCTGACCTCAAGTGATCCATCCACCTCAGCCTCCCAAAGTGTTGGGATTACAGGTGTGAGCCACCTACTTTAGGAGGAAATTTCATGTCACAAAGACAACTTCTGTGCCTTTTGCCACAGTGGAAGGTAACACATAGGATCAAGATTAGATAATAAAAAGAAAACGATATTATTCAGTTCTAGCTAAATATGTTGCCTGGTTGCCAGCTCCAATCTGTTACTCAATCAGGGGTCAAGGTGTTCAGTTAGGACAAGGAGCCAAACTAAAAGTAACAGTCAAGCCTTTATTTGCTTAACTGCAGAAGTACATGCAAGCAGCAGAAAGAGGCCCTGACTCCCCAGTCTTCCATTTTTCCCCACCAAAGGGTACAAGATAAGAGTCAAGTGCATACAGCACAGATGGCAGGAACCTTCTCACTGCCAAGGGGCACTGAAGAAAAGGTTCTTGGCCGGGCACAGTGACTCACGCCTCTAATCTCAGCATTTTGGGAGGCCGAGGCAGGTGGATCACGAGGTCAGTAGTTCGAGACCAGCCTGGCCAATCTGGTGAAACCCTGTCTCTACTAAAAATACAAAGATTATGCTCAGCACAGTGGCTCATGCCTGTAATCCCAGCACTTTGGGAGGCCGAGGCAGGTGGATCACGAAGTCAGGAAATCGAGACTTTCCTAACATGGTGAAACCCTGTCTCTACTAAAAAATGAAAAAAAAAAATTAGTCAGGCATGGTGGCGGGCGCCTGTAGTCCCAGCTACTCGGGAGGCTGAGGCAGGAGAATGGCGTGAACCCAGGAGGTGGAGCTTGCAGGGAGCCAAGATGGCGCCACTGCACTCCAGCCTGGGCAACAGAGCAAGACTCTGTCTCAAAAAAAAAAAAGAAGGTTCTTGCCTCTTTATGGACTCATGGGCTAGGGATGGGAAAAGAGAGGAGAAAATAGGGTAGGCATGCAGGTATGTGTATGAACATGGCTAGCTGGAGCCCTTTATGCAACTTTCTCAGGAAAACTGCAACACTGTAAGACCCCATCTGTACAAAAAATTTTAAAAATAAATCAAGCCTCATGCCTGTAATTTCAGTGATTTGGGAGGCTGAGGCAGGAGGATCACTTGACCCCAGGAGTTCAAGGCTGCAGTGAGCTATGATTGCACCACTTCACTCCAGCTTGGGCAATAAAGCGAGATCCTATCTCAAATATACATACATATATATATAATTTCATGACACAAGAAAACTATATGAAATTCAAATGTCAGCACTGGTAAATAAAGTCATATTGGGAACCGGTGACACCTATTCATTTATGTATTGTCATTTTTCTTTTGGTGGAGATGGGATCTTGCTTCGTTGCCCAGGCTGATTTCAAACTCCTGGCTCAAGTGATCTTCCCAGCCAGCCTCACAAAGTGCTAGGACTACAGGTCTGAGCCATCGTGCCTGCCCATTTATGTATTATCTACGGCTATGTTGGCACTGTAACAGCAGGATGATTAGTTGTGACAAAGGACATATGGTCTACAGAGTCTAAAATATTTACCATCTACTCCTTTACAGAAAAAGTTTGCCAACCCCTGACATAGAACATGTAGAATGTATTAGGCTTTGTTGTTAAAGATCGAATTCTCTAAGTTTCATGAACAGGCTCTGGTAGAAGTGAGGTAAGCGGTAAATCCCATAACATAGTAACATTTTTTTGTGTATGAAAATGTGCATTTGCAAAAAAAATAAAACGTTTAAGGCCTGGCACAGTGGCTCATGCCTGTAATCCCAGCACTTTAAGAGGCTAAGAAGTGAGAGGATTGCTTGAGGTCAGGAGTTTGAGGTCAGCACAGCCAACATAGTGAGACCCCATCTCTATAAAAAATAAAATCGGCCAGGTGTGGTGGCTTATGCCTGTAATCCTAGCACATTGGGAGGCTGAGGCGGGCAGATCACTTGAGGTCAGGAATTCAAGACCAGCCTGGCCAACACGGTGAAACCCCATCTCTACTAAAAATACAAAAATTAGTCAGGTGTGGTGGCACACACATATAATCCCAGCTATTTGGGAGGCTGAGACAGGAGAATTGCTTGAACCTGGGAGGTGGAGGTTACAGTGAGTCGTGATTGCACTACTGCACTTCAGCCTGGGTGACAGAGCGACACTCCATCTCAAAAAAACCACAATTAATTAAATAGGCCAGGTGCAGTAGCTCACGCCTTTAATCCCAGCACTTTGGAGGCTGAGGTGAGGAGTTCAAGACCAGCCTGGGCAACATAGTAAGACCCTGTCTCTGAAAAAACAAATTAAAAAAAAAGAAATGAAATGAAAAAAAGAAAGTATGCATTTGCTAGGGAGAGTCCTGGAGAATTCCAACTCTGAAATTCCTGGAATTGGCCGAGTGCCATGACTGACGCCTGTAATCCCAGCACTTTGGGAAGTCGAGGTGGGTGGATCACCTGAAGTCGGGAATTTGAGACCAGCCTAACCAACATGGAGAAACCCCGTCTCTACTAAAAATACAAAACTAGCTGGGCGTGGTGGCGCATGCCTGTAATCCCAGTTACTCAGGTGACTGAGGCAGGAGAATCTCTTGAACCCAGGAAGCAGGGGTTGCCGTGAGCCGAGATCGTGCCTTGCACTCCAGCCTGGGCAACAAGAGTGAAACTCTGTCTTAAAAAAGAAAAAAGAAATTCCTAGTGTTGACTTCTGTACAAGGAAAGTGTTTAACATGCATCCAAGCTTTTTCTTCTGCATTTCCTGCTGTTTGGTTTTCAAAGGCCGGGTGATTTAATTATGCAGAAAATTTGTTCTGTGCTTAATGATATCCTCACATTTAAATATCCAAACACTGACTCCAGGGGCAAACTCATTCAGGAGTACAAGCAGAAGTTAAACAAGTACACAGCAGCCATGTGTCTATCAGAGCCACTCTAGGGTTTCTTTTGTGATCTGTCACCCCTGGTTTGGAGTTGAGCAGTTGTGGTTCTTGAGTTACAACTCATCTTGTTTGTTTTCTGGGGGATCAGAAAGAGGGCTGAACAACTTTGTTTCAAAAATGATTCTGCTTAGTACACTCCATGATTTTCCTCAGTTGGGCTTTCTAAAAATACAGTTTTCATTCAGGCATTTCAATCAGAAAAATCACTAACCCTGACCCGAAATGTGAGTAAATATAAAGAGACTCCATCATAAAAGATGTATTTCCCCATCCTCTACAATGCTGTGAACCATTGTGTAGTGGGTCAGAGCTTGGCTTTGGGCCTGGACAGATAGGTTCAAATCCCAATTTTGTCACTTTCTGGTGATTCACCATTAACTGTGCCCTTACCTTACTGGGCCTTAGTTTTTTCATCTGTCAAGTGTAGATAATAAGATTATCTACCTCAAACAAGTGTTATGAGAATTCAACAAAATGATAGTCTTTACACTTTTAGTAAAGAGCCTGACTTACCGTTTGTGCAATAATTAGAAGTTGTTTTGGCCAGATGCTGTGGCTCACACCTGTAATCCCAGCACTTTGGGAGGCTGAGGCAGGTGGATCACTTGAGGTCAGGAGTTCGAGACCAGCCTGGCCAAAATGACGAAACCCTGTCTCTACTAAAATACGAAAATTAGCCAGGCATGGTGGCGCATGCTTGTAATCCCAGCTACTTGGGAGGCTGAGGTAGGAGATTGGCTTGAACCCGGGAGGCAGAGGTTGCAGCAAGCCAGGATCGTGCCACTGCACTCTAGCCTGGGTGAGAGAGTGAGACTCCATCTAAAAAAAAAAAACAAGATATAAATAAGTTGTTTTGATGATAACAATTTCACACTTTCTCTAGCTTTTTCACATTTCTCTCTCTCTTCTTGCTTATAAACACTTTCTCTATATATATATTTTTCTTTTTCTCCCTTCATCTGTCTCTGAAAATATTCTCTCTCTCTCTCTCTCTATTTCTCTGTTTCAGGTGTTCATAGACACCCTAACCCATGTGGTACGTGTTTGTGTGAAAGGGCAGTGCAGCCTCCCTGCAAGAAGGCATCTATCAAATAGACATTTTTGCAGTAATTCTCTTGACAATCATTTATGAAGCATCTATTTTATGCAGGAACAATTCTAGTTTCTAGGAATTTGGAAAATAATAAGATGGACAAAGCCCTAGTCTTTAAGAAGCATATATTCTGCTGGGGGAAGCCAGACAATACTCATTGAGAAAAAGAAAGAAAGAAAAATCCAGCCTGGGCAACATAGTGAGATGCGTCTCTACAAAAATTAAAAATAAATAAATAAATAAAAATTTGCCTGGTGGCACATGCCGGTAGTCCCAGCTACTGGGCGGGGAAGGGTTGGGGTTGGGGTGGGAAGATCCCTTGAGCTTAGGAGGCCAAGGCTACAGTGAGCTAGGATGGTACCACTGTACTCCAGCCTGAACAACAGAGCAATACTTTGCCTGGCACAACTGTACTCCAGCCTGAACAACAGAGCAAGACTTTGCCTCTTTAGGAAAAAATAATAGTAATAATAACTGGGCATGGTGGCAAGTGCCTGTGGCCTCAGCTAATTGTGAGGCTGAGATGGAGGATCACTTAAGCCCAGGAGTTCGAGGCTGCAGTGAGCCGTGATTGCCCCTCTGCATTCCAGCCTGGGTGACACAGCAAGACCCTAGCTAAAAAAAAAAAAAAAAAAAAAAAATCCTCTGAGATAGTGAAAGAGTTCAAAAGGTGTGAAAAGAGTGGGCTGATGGGTCCAAAGTCCTGGACTGGAGAGGAGTGTTCTACCAGCTGGGGGGAGGGGCACCAGGAAGGCTGCTTGCAAGTCCTAGACTTATCAGATGGAGGCAGTCCAGGGGAAATCTGGGGAAGATCCCGTGAAACAGAAGCAATAACCAGGGGAAAGTCCCAGAGACGGGAATGAATTTGGTGTGCTGGAAAGACAGGAATGGCCAGATAAGAGGAGAGAGAAGGAACTGAGAGGGGAGAGTTTCCAGGTCACCTTGAACCTTTAGAACAAGGGAGGAGTTGGAATCGCAACAGTGGAAAGCCCCTTCGGGAAAGAGATAGGCTCTGATTTATGCTTTAAAAATATCACCTTGGTAACGTGGTGGAAGGGATGCAAGAGTGAAAACACAAAGGCTATTTGTGAGACTAATCGCAGCCACCCGGGTGAGCAATGGGGCCGGCATGGGCTTGCGTGGTGGCAGGAAAATGGGAAGAAGTGGCCATTATTTGGGATATGTTGTTGAGATAGAGTTTACAGGACTTGCTGATGAACTGGGTAAGGGTTGTTGGGGAAAACAGAGGAATTGAGGGTGATTTCAAGGTTTTGACCTATCCTGTTCCCATTACTGGGGCTACAGATTCAGGACTGGCCTCAAGGGGTTTATCAATGGTTTAAATTTCGTGATTAAAGAAGAAGTATCTCAAACCTGGTCTGGGACAGAAGCTTCTTGCATTACATAATGCATAATCTCCTTCTGAGAAGAAATTGGCATCTGTGATAAACCTGCGTAAGCAGTATTTCTGATTAATTTAAAAGGATTAACATTTGTTCTAGGAAACCAGACACCCACCTCTACTGTTAGGCAAGAGTGTACTGACCTTTAACCATTCTTCTTTCATTTCTTGCTAGTCTTTCCATATAAAATGTCCTGACCAAGAGTGGATCTTTGACTTGATCTACTAGCAGCCTTTTCCCTTTCAACAAGATTGTAATAAAACTTTTGACACGTGCCTAACAAGTAGTCGGAAAGATTTATTTTGGGAAATACTGCTCATAGACGTATTCCATGAAAAAAACAAAAGAATTTTAAAAAACGACAATGATCTCAAAAGCCCCATATTAGGAGGGAAGTAAACAACCACTAATATTTGGTACCTGAATTATTAAAATACGATTTATTGCCAATAAATTTTACTAGTAATTGTTAAACCCTGAACTTCACAAGATTACCATAGACACACCCTAAAGTTTCTTCATTAAGATTCAAGGCAAAAAAGATGAAGAATTCATTGTTTTGTTGTAGTAGATTTCAAGTATCTTGAGCCCAAAACATGCTATAATATATGGACTTTCCTGTCCTTAGAGACATCCATCATTTTTAGATTGTAAGAGCCTTGAGGACCCAAATTTTGTAAACATTTTATTACTATTCTTTTTTAATGAGATGGAGTCTTGCCATGTTGCTCAGGCCGGTCTCAAACTCCTGGGCTCAAGGGGTGCTCCCACCTCCTCTCAAAGTGCTGGGGTTACAGGTGTAAGCCACCATGCCTGGTCTTTTTCTTTTTAAAGAGGTAAAGAAACTGAGGTTCAGAGAGTTTAAATGATTGCCTGGGGTTGCACAGCTGAGACAGGATGTTAACTTAGATCCTCAAAGGTCTTTTCACTTGTCCAAACCTGTGCCTGTGTGCTTATCGTAATTCCTGTGTCATTTCTTAGTATTGCATTTAAAATGGCATTTCTGTTACTAAAATAAACTTTTTTTTTTTTTTGTCATTCTTTCAGTTTCCCTTTCAAGACAATCTCTTTCAATCCATGTATTACCCCCTTCAGCTGAAGTTTTTGGAGACTGTGCACACTTTATGTGGACGGATCCCGCAAGTTTTTCTGAAGCAAATTGAGAAAACAATGAAAAGGGCTTATGAGAAACACGTCATCATCCATGTTGGCCCCAACCAGATGCACTGAATATTTTGTCTTGTTGCAAGTCAATTCGGTGTCTTGTGACCAAGGAAATATTAATCTCTAAGCTGCCTGGGTCTTTTTGTGTGAATATTTAATGGTGCTCCATGACTGTTGAGTTTTAAAAACCTCGTTAAATTTTGCCAAATCAGTTGCCCCCAAAAGAGAATATGCTTTTCCTTATTTTTTTTCTAAAATTCTATTTATCTCTAAGAAAAAAAAAAAAAAGACTATTATGCATTTAACATTGTTTAAGCAGGTTGAACTAGCTGTGAAAATAGCTTTTGTGAGCCTTCCAATTCCTAAATGTCTGAGACCATTTCAGTGGCACCTGAGGTGTTATACTGATCTAGCATTCCTGAGACTCTTTCTATGCAACTGACTCCCCCACACCCGTGTTATAAAAGTAATACACACTTGTGAAACAGACAGACACACTTGTAGAGCGTATGGATCAAGGGCTCAAAATTGAGATTACATTAGCCATAATCCTACTGACCAGTGGAAAAGATTGTTTCCATTTTAATGCAGTTCCTTACAGCCTTTTTCCCTCCACTTTTGCATTTTCCACTCTAAGACACATCTAAAACAGGTAATCTCAGTAAAAACTGGCCTTTTTGCTGAGATTTTTATGTGGGAGACTAAAATATTAGACGAGATGATTATGTGTACAGAATTTTATTTAAAATACATCTGAGAGAAGGATTCAGATTTCACCTACTTGGGCAGTGTTAAAGGATGAAGGATATATCTGGGGGTATTTCTTTTTCTTTTTTTCTTTTTTTTTTTTTTTTGAGACGGAATCTCACTCTGTCGCCCAGGCTGGAGTGCAGTGGCACAATCTCAGCTCACTGCAACCTCCACCTCCCGGGTTCAAGCGATTCTCATGCCTCAGTCTCCCCAGTAGCTGGGATTACAGGCATGCGCCACCACACCCGGCTAATTTTTGTATTTTTAGTAAAGACACGGTTTTACCATGTTGGCCAGGCTGGTCTCTATCTCCTGACCTCAAGTGATCCGCCTGCCTCAGCCTCCCAAAGTGCTGGGATTACAGGTGTGAGCTACCGCACCCAGCCAATCTGGGAGTATTTCTAAAGAAAAAAATTGTTTCGATTTGTGGAGGACTAAATCATAACACATTTCTATGCAACAATAGCTTCTGAGAGGAAATTCAGGAATTTTTGTGTTTACCACAGACAAAAACATTTGATCTGTTAATCATCAGTACATGGTCATCTCTCTTTTAAACTCTTGAGCAATGGGTGGAAATCAGAGACCAACTTCAAATTTAATGTGTAAAAAACAAATAGTTCAGCTGCTTCTATTGGTAAGAAAATTCAACTTCCTACCAGCCTTAGAAAGATCTCTTTAAAGAATTTCTTTCCCCCTAGGGTTACCCAGCTGGTCCATACAGGTTTTATCACCTCACTGCAGGGAGGAAGTTGAATATTCTATTCCCCAAGGGGATCTGGCTTAATCCCTAGTTGCTCATATAGTTGGTATCAGCATAGCAATGTTTTGCATAATGCTTTATTTTTCTCAAATGACTATTGAGTAAATGATCTTGATATTTGCAACAGCCTAGTGGATTTAGTAGGGTCCTGAATCATCTCTATAAGGTAAACAAGGAAATTGTAATATAAGAAATAGACATATTGAATATAATTGCTATTCTGTAAGACATACAGTCTGTGTAAGATGCATCTTATTTACAGAGACATTTTTGAAAATTAAAATATTAAATACCTTTTGTTATATAGAGACAATGATCTGAAAGTATAAAATGAAAAATATTATCTTGTTGATGTAAATATGATATCCTTATATATATTAGAATCCAATAAGATATCATGGGCACAATATTAGCAAAAAAAAGTCAGTCTTACCCTGAAAAAAAATAGATATGAAAATCTCAGCACTACACAGAAATGTTTAGATGTCAATCAGTTTTGGTAGGCAGCATTATTATAGTAGCAACAAATTTAAATCTAAAATTTTAGGGTAATACTTTCCTTCTGATCAGTTGCCCTGTAATTATTTTTGTTAAGGAAACTACCATTGTGATGGGAAACTCTTATTTTTGCTGTTATATTTTGTTTCCTTATTTCACCACTAGAGGTGATATCATTATTTTGTAAGTTTAGTACTAGGCCTTCCATTTGTGGTATAGACACGTATGATATGGAGCAATTTCTGAATTGTCCTTCACATAGGGGAAAATGCATCTTATCTACCCACAAATTGGGTTTTAGTGAAAGAGCCAGAATGGAGCATAGTTTCCTAACTTCCATCCCAGTTTCCTTTCTACTTGTTCAAAATGGCCAGTGAAGTACACAAATGGCACTCAGATTTGTTGATGGCTCACAAACTGAAAGAGGTTCCTTCCCTCGTTGGTAAGTCCCACAAAAACATCTGTTGTAAAGATTTGAAATACAATGCCTTTCTTTTTTATGAGAGCCAATTTACCCACAACTCTTAACTACCGGTACTGGTCTGACTGTGCAGAAAAGGGTTGCCCGCAAAGGTCAATGATATCACCCTAGAACATTCTAGAATGATGAATTTTGAGAATGTGAAACCTTAGAACCTCGTGTGTTTGTCTGCCTCGGAATTCCTGTGCTGTATCCTGAAATTTTTAGGTGAATTTGGCTGATAACTTAGGGAAAATTTGCTTTTCTAATCCTTGCTGCCTGAAAGTGCTAATTATTTTCCATAGCTAGGATATTACCGTGCAGCAATATTGTCTCAGCCTTTGATAACTCCCAGCAAATTACTGCATTAACCACCTTTGAAATCCAGGAGCCACAAATTTTAATTCAGTGGCCTGCGAAAACATGTGCTCTCTGGTCTAAAGCTTGCCAAAGGTGGTGCTGCCCCATATGCCGCACTGAATACTGGGAAGGGCTGGGCGCGGTGGCTGACACCTGTAATCCCAGCACTTTGGAAGGCCGAGGTGGGTGGATCACGAGGTCAGGAAATCGAGACCATCCTGGCCAGTATCTACTAAAAATACAAAAAATTAGCCGAGTGTGGTGGTGCCTGTGGTCCCAGCTACTTGGGAGACTGAGGCAGGAGAATGGCATAAACCCCGGAGGCAGAGATTGCAGGGAGCCGAAATTGCGCCACTGCACTCCAGCCTGGGCAACAGAGCAAGACTCCGTCTCAAAAATAAATAAATAAATAATAAAAAATAATACTGGGAAGAAGGTGGGCCCGTTCTCTCCTCTCCTCCAGCCCTGCCTTTTCTCTTTTCCCTCTCTTTTCTTCTTTACTCATCTCTTTTTAATTTCTGTTTAATGCATATAATTATGGAGTTTCATTAGAGAAGGAAAGAGCACTTTCTGACAGCAAAATGTGACAGTATTTCTATATGCATCGCGATTGAGCTTTTTCAACAGCAGTGTCACTAGAAATGCTGACAATATTTTTCTTGCTCAGTGTTTCTCCAATATAAATCTCAGAAATCATGACTTACATTGAAAATTCTAATATTTAAACAATTAACTGGCTAAAAAAGCAATATAAGTTTTTCTTCAACTTCCAAAATGGCAATTTAGCACTTTGGATACAAAGCTCCAAGCTTTACTATTTATGGGATATGTCTAGTTCATATTCAGTGCTTCCATTGCAAATTACTGCGACTTTTACCAAATTTGGTATTGAAATGGGTATTTATATGGACTCAGACTTTTCAGAGTATTTCTTTTATTTGCAGTTATGGTGTGCATGGCAAAAACAAACCAAATCATACAAAACATTATTATTCACAGTGATTGAAAACTAAATAATGATCCAATAACAATCACTCCAGCCCAGCCTGAAAACAGGACATTTGTACAAATTTAGATTTATGTATAAATATTATCTGATATTTATGCATATAAAAGATAAATTACATGTGTTTGATAAACCAACATGAACATGATTTCATCACTGAAATCAGAAATATGTTGAGTTCTATGACAGCACAAATCATATTTTCTTTCTTTCTCTTTCTTTCCCTTCCTTCCTTCCTTTCTTTCTTTTTCTTTCTTTCCTTCCTTCTTTCTTTCTTTTTTTCTCTCTCTCTCTTTCCTTTTTCTTTCCTAAGCAAGCTAACCCAAGACATATTCTCTATTTTTTTTTTTTTTGAGATGGAATCTCCGTCTGTCACCTAGGCTGGAGTGCAATGGCACAATCTCAGCTCACTGCAGCCTCTGCCTCCCAGGTTCAAGTGATCCTTGTGCCTCAGCCTCCTGAGTAGCTGGGACTACAGGTGTGCACCACCACGCCCAGCTAATTTTTTATGTTTAGCAGAGATGGGGTGTCACCATGTTGGCCAGTCTGGTCTCGAACTCCTGAGTTCAAGTGATCCACCTGCCTTGGCCTCCCAAAGTGCTGGGATTACAGGCATGAGCCACTGTGCCCAGCTGACATATTCTCACTTAATATAATTATAGGGAAATTTTTCATGTTTTTCTTTTTCTCTCCCACTTTTTCATATTCCTCTTTTTCATTTTTGCCTTTCCCTTTCTGTCTATGATGTAAGCTTCTGAGTAGTACCGAGACACTTGGCTTTAGTGGTAGGATGACAGAAATTAGGGATCCCTTGCAGGCTAGAACTAAGTTCTAATCCTTGGACCAAATCTTTATGTTAAGAGTTTCCTTGAATGTATTTTTAAAAATCAGTCAACACAACACACACACACACACACATACACACACTGCCTTTAAAAGGAGGAGCCAACATTTGTTGTACCTGCGAACTGAGGAATTATATAGTTAAACCTTAGGTCAAATCATTTCACAATTGCTTTGGTGGTATTGAAAACTGATGAGATTTCTCTGACAAAGAGCTTTGTCCTAGTTTTTGTTCTTCACAGGTCAAAACTGGAAATATTCTCTTGTCTGCAAGATAAAGTGTTTGTGCTTGTATCACCATATGCATGAACATGTAAGAATCAAGTGCAATTTCTGCTTCATCAGTTTCACATGTTCATGTTGTCACTGAAAAAGTGCATCCCCTGTTTATAGCTCCCAAGGAGACCCCAAATTAATTTTTTTTTTTCTTTTGAGATGGAGTCTCGCTCTTGTTGCCCAGGCTGGAGAGCAGTAGCATGATCTCAGCTCACTGCAACGCCCGCCTCCTGGGTTCAAATGAGTCTCCTGCCTCAGCCTCTCCAGTAGCTGGGATTAGAGGTGCCCGCCACCATGCCTGGCTAATTTTTGTATTTTTAGTAGAGACGGGATTTCACCATGTTGGTTGACCAGGCTGGTCTCAAACTCCAGACCTCAGGTGATCCACCCGCCTCAGCCTCCCAAAGTGCTGGGATTACAGGGGTGAGCCACCGCACCTGGCCCTGTATTCATTTTTTATGTTGGAAAACATTTTTTCTTTGCAAAGAAATTAGCATAAAAAGAATACTCCAAAGAAAAGGAATTATTACAGCAAATTAAAAGGGACACAGTACTATGATTTAATT